TTATAAAGATGGCCGCGCTCAGACCAGTTGTAGCTTCACAGGCTCCCGGTACCATCCCAGTTTTTAGAAGTTTTGATATTGACTCTGTGCCTGACTCCGCGCGATTTATGCGTGTGAACTATAGCCGAACCGAACTGATGAGAATAGGAGCGGATTTGCCACGAAATATAGCAGAAATCAGCAACAAACTCAAAGCTACGCTCGGCAGAATGCAGATCTTAAAGTCATCTACCTGGAAGCTGCAGCAGAGGCGTTCCAGCGGGCAGAAGAGGAAGCGCTGCTCCCGGCTTAAGAGGAGAGGATGCCGGGCGGGGGGTTATGGTGAGGCTACGAGCTAACGCAAAAGCCGGTAAACTCCCCATGCCATCTCTCTTTCTGGCGAATGTCTGCTCGTTGGACAACAAGGTGGATTTACTTCGTCTGAGAGCGGACGCCTCAGAAGAGATGAAGAAGTGTGCGGTGCTTTGCCTCACGGAAACATGGATTACAAGCGAAACGCCGGACACAGTCTTCCAGCTGGATGACAGACTTTTTTTTTCGAGCGGACCGCTGCAGCGAGCTAACGGGGAAATCACGGGGAGGCGGAGTATGCATTTACGTGAGTAAAGTTGGTGCACAAATTGTACTGTTGTAAATAACTCATGCTCGAAAGCTTTGGAGCAAATAACAGTGAAATGTCGGCCACATTATCTACCCCGCGAGTTCACGCTGACTTTCATCACTGTCGTTTACATTCCTCCGGACGCTAATGCTAATGAATCACTGCAGGAGCTACATGATATCATCAGCTCGCTGCAGAGCAAACACCCCGAGGCTCTTTACGTGGTAGCCGGAGACTTTAACCACGTGAATCTAAAGGACTGTCTCCCGAGCTTTTATCAACATGTGGCGATTCCAACACGTGGAGACCACACGCTGGACCGTGTTTACATGAACGTAAAAGATGCATACAAAGCCGAACCCCGCCCCCACCTAGGACTGTCAGACCACATCTCAATCTTCCTGGCTCCTGCTTACATGCCACTGCTGAGACGCTCCAGACCGGTACAAAAGAAAGTTAAATGTTGGATCCAGGACAGTGGCCCCATACTGAGATTGTTTTGACCGAACAGACTAGCAGGTTTTCAGAGAAGCTGCTGAAAATGGAGGATCGCTTGATCTGGACCAATACACATCCTCAGTTCTGGGTTATATTAGTACATGTACTGAAACTGTCTCCACGATCAGAAATGTTAAAAGCTACCCAAACAGAAAACCTTGGCTGAATGCAGAGGTGCGCACACTGCTGGAAGCCAGGAACACTGCCTTCAGGTCTGGAAACTCAGAGGAGCTGAGTAGGACAAGAAAAGAGCTGGTTGCTGGTATTAAGAGGGCCAAGGCCACATATGCACAGAGGATCGAGGGTCAATTCATCTCACAAGACCCTCGGAGCATGTGGAGGGGAATTAAGTGCATAACAGATTATAAAGGAAGGAGCGAACAATGCCCCAAAGACCCATCTCTGCCTGATGCCCTCAACAAGTTCTATGCACGCTTTGAAGACCCGAACAGACCACCCAGCACCAGACTCCCCTCACCACCGGATGAAGAGCATCTCAGCGTGACCTCAGCCGAAGTAAGGCGTACCTTCAGGAGGATTAATCCGCACAAAGCAACTGGCCCAGACAACATCCCCGGAAAAGTGTTGAAGGAATGTGCTGATCAGCTCTGCAAGGTGCTGGCAGACATCTTTAATACCTCACTTACCCTGGAGACAGTTCCCACCTGCCTGAAGACTGCCACCATCATCCCAGTCCCAAAAAGCTCTACAGTGACTGGTCTGAATGACTATCAGCCAGTGGCCCTCACCCCGATAGTCGCTAAATGCTTTGAAAAACTGGTCATGACTCACATCAAAACAACCATCAACATCAACGAGGACCCTCATCAGTATGCATACCGTGAGAACTGATCAACAGAGGATGCAATCTCCTCTGTGGTCCACACTGCACTCAACCACCTGGAGCAGAAAAACTCTTACGTCCGTATGCTCTTTGTGGACTTCACATCCGCCTTCAACACCATGATCCCCCAAACCCTGATGGACAAACTACTCTCATTAGGACTAAGCCCCTCCATTTGCAACTGGGTACTAGACTTCTTAACAAACAGACCACAGTTAGTGAGGATCCACAACTTCTCCTCCTCCACCATAAACCTCAGCACTGGCTCTCCTCAGGGATGTGTGTTGAGCCCCCTCCTGTTTACTCTGCTCACATATGATTGTGCAGCTACCCATCCAGGCTGTCACATTGTAAAGTTTGCAGATGATACAGCGGTGGTGGGATGCATCACAAACAAAGATGAGTCCAGCTACAGGCAGGAGGTGGAACACCTGGAGAGCTGGTGCAGAGAGAATAACCTTCACATCAATGTGAAGAAGACAAAGGAGATGATTGTGGACTTCAGAAGGAACAAAAACATCTACACCCCCCTGAACATAAGAGGATCTGCGGTGGAAGTGGTCTCCAGCTACAAGTACTTGGGTGTACACATGAATGACAACCTCAGCTGGAGCAACAACACCACCAGCCTGATGAAGAAAGCTCATCAGAGACTCTACTTCCTCAGACGGCTGAGACGAGCTGGTCTGGGAAGCTCAGTCCTCACCTCCTTCTACAGGTGTGCAGTGGAGAGCATCCTGTGCTCCAGCATCAACGTGTGGCATGGAGGCTGCACAGCTGCAGAAAGAAAAGCTTTGCAGAGAGTGGTGAAGGCTGCACAGAAGACTGTCGGAGTCAGCCTCCCCACCATCACAGACATCTACACCTCTAGATGCAGGAAGAGGGCCACCTGTATCATGAAGGACCTCACTCACCCAGCACACACACTTTTTGCCCCACTCCCCTCAGGAAGGAGGTTGAGGAGCATTAAGTGTAGAACCACTAGACTGAGGAACAGCTTCTACCCTGAGGCTGTTAGACTCATGAATCTCTAACTAGAATAATCACTGTGAAAAACCACATCATGTTGCTGCTGATCTGTTTCATGTTGCTGCTGATCTGTTTCATGTTGCTGCTGATCTGTTTCAATGTTGATGTGTTCATGCGTGCACATCTGCTCACAGACTCATGTTCATGTTTGTGCTGATGTTCAATGTTTTATGTTATGAGTGCTTAGTGTATATTTAGTTGATGTTTTTCTTAGTTCATATCTTAGATGTTATCACTGTCTTTCTTATACATTTTATTGTTGGATGTAACTGGGACCCTGTGAACATAATTTCGCTCCACCACATGTACCACATGAGGTGCGAATGACAATAAAGAATCTCTGACACTCTCTGACTCTGACTTTGGGCCTATACCCCTCGGGCCTGTGGTTCCAGGTAGCTAATGGGAGGAAACTGATTTGAAATGTGATTTACAGTGGAGGAAAAAATTTTTGAAACATCTTCTGAATTATGAACGTATTGATGGTGAACCGGGGACTTAGTTTTAACATTTAGTTTACCTCGGGCCGTCACCCAGCCGGCCTGTGGTTTCTGACTGCCAACTTGAACTAGCATTAGTGGTTCAGCGGAGCCTAAGTGCACCTGGCTAGTTAATGGTTGTTAAAAGCACAGAGTGCTATGGTTTCAGGTTTGGGCGCGTTGGTCAACAGCTTGCTAGACCCACCACGGTGTAGCACCATGAGACTGGCTCCGCACAAGACTGGGGCCCTCCGCTCTCAAAACGAATAGAAAACAACAACAATCAACAGGGAGCAGAAAAATAAATAAATAAAACACTGTTTAAAACCACTCGCCTGATCTCAGCTGAATGTGAATTCAATCTGAGTCGATCTAAACAAATCTGATTAGCTTATCACACCACTGCAGAACCTTGCAGTAGTGATTTATGTAAAAAACACCTAAAAAAATAAAGCACAAAACATTAACCAGCAAGGAAGCAGTACAACAAAGTCAAGAAACAGAAACTCTGTTTAAAACAAAAACGTTTAAAAAAAGGGCGACTCGCCTGATTGATGAGCTTAGCTTTGTGTGAGCTGAATCCACTTAGCAGTTAGCACATTAATTAATTAATTAACTAATTAATTATTAGCCTCCAGGCAAATCCCATGAGATCACAGATCTCTTTTGCAAGGGAGGCCTGGGTCTGAAGGCAGCCTAACATTCACAACACCATCGGGTCATGTAGCTCGTAGAAAACACCTAAATAAAGAGTAAAACCAATAAACGACCAGCATACGACACTAGCAAACAATTTAAAGAGCAGCAAAACCAGTTTATAGTAAGTGTGTTTGTGTGCATAGTACTGAAGTTAGTGTTTTGGACCAGATGTCTATTTTTAAAGTCAGGTGTTCTGGTTTAGGTCCTGAACATGGACTGAGCTGTCTTGCTGTCTTTCAGAACGGAGACAGTTGTTGAGAAGATGTTGACCAACTGGATGTCCATCTGTCTTTACTCCTTCTTGAAGGTATGTTTCCGCATGTCCCTGTGTGTCTTTCACTGTCTTACCTGCACCTGTCTCTCTGCCTGTATCTGTCTCATCTGTACCTGTCTGTCTGACAGGACGTGGCAGGTGAGCCACTCTATATGCTCTACAGAGCCATTAAATATCAGGTGGACAAGGGTCCAGTGGATGCTGTGACAGGAAAAGCCAAACGGACACTGAATGACAGTCACCTGTTACGAGAGGACATTGAGTACTGCTCCATGGTAACCATAGCAACACTAGTCCTTCCTGTGTAAACTATTGATTTTGTTTCATCTGGACAGGTTCAGTTTCCTAATCACTTTTCACATTTCTACCTTTCTTTCTACACCTGGTTCTCAGACTCTTAACGTCTTGGTGAAGAATGGACTTGAGATTCAGCAATGTCCTGTTAAAGTACTTGACATTGACACCATCACACAGGTGCCTGTCTGTTTGTATGTCCCTAATACCTGTCTATCTGCCTCTTACTTGTTTGTATGTTTCCTGTGTGCAGGTAAAAGACAAAATCCTAGACCATGTCTACAGAGGAGCTCCGTTCTCTCAGAGGCCGTTAGCAAACAGCTTGGACCTAGGTATATGTGCCTGTCTCATCTGGTCAGAGTTTCCCACACAGCTCATGCTCACCTGCATCTGTTTGTCTACAGAATGGCGGTCGGGTCAGGCAGGTCACCTGACTCTTTCAGATGATGATGTCACAGCAGTGGTTCAAGGTTGCTGGAAACGTCTCAACACACTGCAGCACTATAAGGTACATATTGACCAAGTTCAAGGTGGCTGTGCCTCTTTTCCTCTTACATTTTCGGATTACTGTGATGTTTTGTTTCCCAAGGTTCCAGATGGAGCCACAGTAGCTCTGATCCCTCAAACCAGTTCAGGAGGAATCCACCAGGTGTTCCAGACTGGAGAAAGTAAGGAACAATGAACACAAAGAAACCTAACCGAACAGAACACATGAAGAACACGAAATCAACCTGACAGAAAACATCTAGACCAGCTATTGAACATCTAAGATAAGATAAGATTCAATTTACTTAATTCAGTTTATCTATAAAGCTCCAAGTCACAACAGAATCGTCTCAGGGACTGAAGAGAAACATTCATCTATAAAATAATAATTTAACATTGTTTATCTGAGGAGCAGCTTTGAGTTTAACTCCATCACAGAACTCTCATCTTGAACAAGCATGAAGGCGACAGTGGAAAGAAAAACTCCCTCATGAGGAAGAAACCTTTAGCAGAACCAGGATCAGGACAAGAGGACCATCTGCTTCAACCGGCTGGGTTTGGTAGGAATAGATACACAATGGCAGGTCAAGAATCACATGTTAAGATAAAATAAGATAAGATAGAACTTTATTGATCCCGCAGGACATTGTTGTGCCAGAGTTTCAGTACCAAGGAACAGACACAAGAAATCACACAAGATATAAAATAAATAACAGAGAATATAAAAATTCATTCAACCTTTATTTCTACAGGTTAATCCCATTGAGCCTCAGGGACTCATTTACAAGAGAGACCTGATTTCAACAAAGAATGATGACAACAGTGGACAATCATAAAAGAAGCATACAGATTTTTTTTTTTGATTTTTTTAACAAATTAAAATAAGATGGCAAAAAAGTAGCAAAAACAGCTAGATTATAAGGCGATGTAGAAAACTAAAAACAGGAACATGTCTGCAGGAACTTATCAGATGTTTTGAAGTCACTTAGAGAGGTCAAAGGTCGAGAGCTTCAGATCTTTTTACAAGATATTCCAGGAAACAGGAGCGGAGTAGGAGAAGGTCCTTTTGCCAAAAAATAAAAATACCAAATACCAAAATATCAACTATTAAGGTCCAAAACATGTCAGGTTCAGACAGAAACATTAAATTGTTTATTTTGGTGCAGGATTAATTTTATTCAGAAAGGGGGAGGAGTTAAAAAGTTTGGAGGACTTCCTGTGTTGTTCTGTGGAGCACCTCATGGTCTCAGTCTATGACTGAAGGTGCTGCAATAAGAGTCCAGGGTGTCATGCAGGGGGGTGACGTGTTGTTCAGGATCTGGAGCAGGTACCTCAGCATCATCTGCTCAGACACCTCTGTCAGAGACTGCAGGTCCACTCCCAGAACTGAGCCAATTCTCCTGATGAGTGGATCAACCAGTACTGGTTGATCCACTCTGTGAAGGTGCTATTTAAGAGACTGAGCTGAATACAGCACCTCAGACTGAGGAAGTCTCTCGGATGAGGGACGAAACGTTTCTACATTTTTTTGTTGTTTTGCTTTTTTTTGTTTTTTTGAATGTCCAGAGGACCAGATTTAACTTTTTTAGACATCAAGAAAATGTTTTGAACATCTAGAATAGCTATTGAATATCTGAAACAGCTATTGAACATCTGGAACGCCTACTGAACAACTATGTTAAGTTTGGAGCTGACTGCGGGTCGTCAGTCACTGCAGCTAGCTACTGCTAGCCGTGGGCCTTAGGCTTCCTCTTGGACCCTGGACCCGCACACAGCCCCCACCACTTCCTCCGGCTCTATCTCCCTCAGAAGTGGCAACTCATACTAACAAATAAATCAAGGAAGCGTGAATTCAGTTTATCAATTATATTAAAAACAAGGCAGGAAAAGGTTACAATTTACAGCGCTGGACTCTCCGGTCTGTGACGCGTTCACAGACCCAGAAGAGCCCCAATGTCCCGTGTCATTACTCATTTATAGGGTCCTAGACTCCTCCTTCGCAGAAGGGGAGCTCAACCTGTCAGTGTAAGAGGGGGCGTGACTACAGGTCCTTCTCAAAAAATTAGCATATTGTGATAAAGGTCATTATTTTCCATAATGTAATGATAAAA